TTGGGGATGGGTTCTTAGCTTGGGGGTCCTGTGGGGTTTTGGGGGGAGGATCCTTTGAGGTTTTGGGTGTGCCGCGGGGTTTCAGGAGGTCCCGTGGGGTTGTGGAGGGTGCTGGGGGGTTCATGGGATGTTGGGGGTTCCATGGGGGTTAGGAGAATCCCACGGGGTGTGTGGGGGGATGTTCCGGGAGGTTTTGGGGTCCCCCGGGCTCTTCCCACCCGCGGGGTCGGGGGCGTCGCGGTCCTCCTGCCGCCAGGGGGCGCTGTGTGGCGGGGCGGGGCCTGGCCGCGCCGTCCCCAAGGTGCACCGCGCGCCGCGCTATATAAAGAGCCACACCGGAAGTGGAGGGTGTGGAGTGGCGGCGGCGCGGGCGGGAGCCGAGTGTGGGTGCGTGGGTTGTGAGTGGGGCGTGTGAGGGTGTGAATGGAGCGTGTAACGGGCCGTGTGAGTGTGTAAGGGCGTGCGAGGAGTGTGAGAGTGTGCAGGTGAGGCGTCAGCCCCCTCCCCCTACACGTTGATCTTATTCGATCGGCCGGGCCTGGCCGGGCCGAGATGAGAAGAAGGCGCCGCGAAGCCCCCGGGGCGCTGTGCGGCTGGGCCGGGCGGGATGAGTCGATCAGATAGGCGAGGCCCAGGGCACGGCCCGCGGCCCGTGAGCGCCCTGCGATTCTGACCCGAGCCCGCTGCCGCGGAACCCCGAGGGGAGCGGCGGGGGACGCGGCCCTGCCCCGCTTCCCACGGCCCTGCGAGGCACAGGGGCCTCGCCCACGGCCCCACAGGGTCCCTGCGACACGGCAGGGACACCCCGCTGTGGCCTTTGTGGGGACACGGGGATAGCCGTGGGGACAGGGGACAATGCTGACCAGGAGATGGACACGATGCTGACCAGGGGATGGCCGTGGTGACAAAGGAACAACCACCACGGTGACAGGCTGATGAGGGCACAGCCATGGTGGTGACGAGGCCATGATGGTGACCAGGGACAGCCACAGTGGTGACAACAGAGTGGCCACGAGGGGACAATCACAGTGGTGTCCAGGGTACAACTGTGGCAGTGAGAAGGCCACGGTGGTGACCAGGGGACAGCTGGCACTGCCAGGAGGAGCAGCCGTGGTGGCCCTGCTGTGGGGACACTCCGAGCAGGGGACACTGTCCTGGGGTGGCTCCGTGTGTGAGGTGACACTGCAGGCAGCGTGGGACACGGCCACTCCCTGCCACCGCATCCCCGGGCCCGGGCTGTCCCTTTGCTGCTCTGGGGACACTCGTGTCCCTTCCCCATGAGCGTGTCCCCCGTGCCCGAGGTACCTGTGCCACCACAGACAGAACTGGGACCCCCCTGTCCCTCTGTGTCCCCTCTGCTCCCATGTCACCAGTGTCCCCTTAGACCCCCTTGGCCTGGTGGCCCCATGACCCTCTGTGTCCCCACCTCAGCTCTGTCCTCTCCCTGTGTCCCTCGCATTCCCATATCCCCTGTGTCTCCATGTCCCCCCTAGTGTCCCCATTTCCCTGTTTTCCAGAACGTGTGTGTTCCCTCCGCTTTTGTCCCCTCCTGTCCCCGGGGCTGGCCCTGCCTCGCGGAGGGGACACGGTGGGGACACCACTGTACGTGGGGGGACCCGTGAGCCTCACGGACCCCGTCCCGGTGTCCCCCCAGCCCCGGGAGGGTAATGGTGGTGGTGGTGTGACATCCCGGGAATGATGCTCGGGGCGGGGCCGTTCCCGGAGTACATCCCGGGGGGATGCCCGTGGCTGTTCCCGGTGCCGGGATTCCATTCCCGGGGGTACATCCCAGGGGGATGCCCGATTCCCAGGAGTACATTCCACGGATGACGCTTGGCGCCATTCCCGGCGGTTCCATTCCTGGGGATGACTCCCCGTGCTGTTTCCATGGAAAACGCTGCCGATGCCGATGCCCGGCATTTCCGGGGTGTCATTCCCGGGGGTTCCGTTGTGTCTCTGTTCCCGGTGCCGTTCCCATCACTGACATTCCCGATGCCGACTCCCGTTCCCGTGGCTGCCGTTCCCGGGGGCGATGCCGGGGGTCGTTCCCGGTACCATTCCCGGCGGTTCCGTTCCCGATAGCGGTGCCATTTCTGGGGGCGCCGTTCCCAGTACTATTCCCGTTCCCGGTGCCGGTTCCCGGGGGCTCTGTTCCCAATCCCGGTGCCATTCTCGGTGGCTCTGTTCCCGTTCTTGTTCCCGGGGTTCTGTTCCCGGGGAGGACGCAGGTGCCGTTCCCGTTCCCATTCCCGTTCCCGTGTGGGGGGCGAGCAGGTGCCGTTCCCGGGGCGGGCTCAGGTGCCGTTCCCGTTCCCATTCCCGTGCGGGGAGCGCTCGCAGGTGCCGTTCCCGTTCCTGTTCCCATTCCCGTTGCCGTGGGGGGGCCGCGCAGGTGCCGTTCCCATTCCCACTCCCGTTCCCTTGGGGGCCGCGCAGGTGCCGCCGGTGCGCGGGGGGCGGGCGGTTGGGGGGGCGGGGCCGGTGCCGGTGCCGCTCGGGCCGCGGAGCCGCCGCCGTTGCCGCCGTTGCCGCCGCCATGGCCGGAGCCGGAGCCCGAGCCCGGTGGGCGCCGCTGGCTCTGCTGTGTCTCGCTGTCACCGCGTCCCCGGGACGCGCCGCGGAGCAGCTGCACGTCTGCAAGGAGGTACCGACCCCGGCCGTGGCGGGGGGCACCGCCGGGAGCCCCCCCAATTCCCTATACACACCCCCACCCCCTCCCCGGGATGTGAAACGGAGCCCCGGAGCGCGCGCGGGGGGGGGGGGGGGGGGGGGGGGGGGGGGGGGGGGGGGGGGGGGGGGGGGGGGGGGGGGGGCACAGGGAGGGGACGGGGGGTCCCGGTGGCACCGGGGGTGGGGGCACAATTGCGGGAGCCCCCCGAATTCCTCCCCCCCTCCCCCCATGGGACCTGAAACGGAGCCCCGGAGCGCGGGGCGGGACAGGGAGGGGACGGGGGTCTCTGTAGCGGGGGGGGCTGGCGAACCCTTGGGGAGGGAGGGCCTTGCCAGACCCCGAGGGTCTCCTTGGGGGACCCCAAGTGGTGTCACCCCATCGCTGCCCCCAAATCCCAACCCCTCCCACACACTGGGGTGGCCCCAAACCCTCCCTGAGCGCTGTTGATGGGGGTGACAAGGACAGGCAGGGGGGGACATTCCCAGCGGCCACGTGCGATTCCCAGCCCGGCACGCGGTGGCCAAAGTGTCCTGCGAGGAAGAACCAGAGGGATCTGTCACTCGCTGGGCTCTGCCCGCCTTGGGGACAGCGGCTGAACCCCCAGATCGCCTCCCTGGGGTGTCCCCCCGCCGTTCTCCCCCTCCTTCCCCCCCCAGACCTGCGGCTGCTTTTTAATCTGGGCCAGGAATGTTTTTCGCGCCGTGATCCAGTTTTTTTGTCCGTGTTCCGCGATCCGGAGCTGGGAACAATAGAGCGGGGCTGGCACCTGTCCCCGCCGGGGACCGGCCCCCCGCGGCGGGAGGTGTCCCCTGTCCCCCCCTGGGGACAGCCACTCCCCTCCCGGCCGGAGCAGGGTGACAGTGACGCCTCGGGGTGCCCCTCCCTCACCCCCCAGGGCCGCCCCGGGGCTGAATTAGGTCAATTTATTTAGATTTAAAAAAACCTAGAAAAGTTTAGGAAGAGAGGGAAGAAAACCTTGTCTCCAAGGGAATCCCTCGGGAGCGACAGCGACGGGGGCTGCTCAGAGCTGGGGTGACCCCCTGGGTACCCCCAGGGTGGGCAGGACCCTCCTCTGTGCCCCATGAGGGGCTGGGGGTCTCGGTGCTGCCCGAACACGGGCGGGGGGTGCTGCAGACACGTCTTATCCCCCCCTTTTCCCTTCCACCCCCCTTTTCCCCCCTCCCCATCCCCCTTTCCCCCTCATCCCCCCCTTTTCCTTCCCCCCATCGCCGCCGTTTGCAGCTGACGGGAACATCAAAGCGGTTGTTTTCCCATCAACCTGCCACGCTCCGGCAGCCGCCGGGAGCACAAACCAGCGCGCTCCGCCAGCCCGGGGCTGCGCGGGGGTGGGGGGCTCCCCCTGCACCCACTGCCCGCCCCCCGGCACCCCCTGGACCCCCTGAACCCAGTGTACCCCCGTACCCCGACACCCCAGAGCTGTGCGGGGGTGGGGGGCTCCCCCTGCACCCAGTGCCAACCCCTTGTGCCCCCCTGTACCTGCCGTGCCCCGGCACCCCAAAACTGGGTGAGGGGCTCCCCCCTGTACCTCCTGTACCCTGCAGCCACCCACCTGTACCCCCTGGACACCCCAAAGCTGTGCGGGGCTGGGGAGGCTCCCCCCTGTGCCCCCCGTGCCCCGACACACCAAAGGCCATCCCCTCCCCCAGCCCCGTCCTTGGCCGTGCCCACGCCGCGTCTGTCCCCGGTGTCACCTCCCCGGTGTCACCTCCCCGGTGTCACCTCCCCGCCGGCCTTGAGCCTCTCCCAGCCGGGCACAGCCGGTGGGATTTGGGGGGTGGGAGGGGGTGTCACGGTGCCCCCGCTGTCCCCCAGGACACCCCGGTGTTTGAGGAGCCCCGCGTGTCCCCGGCTCGAGCCACCCCAAGGCTGTGACGCCCGCCCTGGTCCCCAAATCCTGCACCCCCCGAATGTCCCCACCACGAGGGGGATGGGTACAACCCCTCCTGGGGGGTACAGGGTTGAGGGGGCACAGGGTGGGGGTACAACCCCTCCTGGGGGGGTACAGGGTTGGGGGACACAGGGTGGGGGTGCAGCCCCCGTCAGGGGCAGCGCGGGGGTCCCGGGGCAGCTCCCCCCGTGCTGTCCCTGTGTCCCCCCGTCCCCCCCCGCAGTCCGAGTACCACTACGAGTACACGGCGTGTGACAGCTCCGGGGAACGCTGGAGGGTGGCGGTGCCGCACAGCCCCGGGCTCTGCACCGGCCTGCCCGACCCCGTCCGCGGCACCGAGTGCTGTGAGTGCCGGAACGGTCGGGACAGCGCGGGAAGGGGGGTAGGATGGGGTGGGAATAACTCAGATGGAGCGGGTGGGGTGGGAATGACACACATGGAGTGCCTGGGATGGAATGGGAGAGCAGGGAATCACACCAGGATTGCGAGGGAGTAACGGCCACGGAGTGCCTGGGATGGGAGGGGAGGGGTGGGAATCACACTGGGATTGGATGGGGATAACACACATGGAATACCGGGGATGGGATGGGATGGGATGGGATGGGATGGGATGGGATGGGATGGGAATCCCACACCCGGAGGCATCAACTGTGGATGGGGATCCCAACCCCCCTAAACCTCGGGGGTGCCCCCTCTCCGTGCCAGGCCTTCCCATCCCGCCCGGCTCGGGCAGCACTGCGGCTCTGGAGCCAAACCCCGTCAATTGGGAGCGTTTCCTTTGCGGGACGGGCGGGCTGGGGGATTCCCCTCCCGGGGAGGGCGGAGCTGAGAGGATGGCGAGGCTGAAGCAGCCCCTTGGAGCGGGGCGGGGGGTGATTCCCTGCGCTCCCGCTTCCCGTGGGCAGCGTTCTCCTGCAAGGCGGGCGAGTTCCTGGAGATGCAGGCGCAGTCGTGCCGCCCCTGCGCCGCGGGCACCTACTCGCTGGGCACCGGCGTCCGCTTCGACGAGTGGGACGAGGTGCCCCGAGGGTTCGCCAACGTGGCCACCAACCTGGAGCTGCAGGAGGGGCCCGGGGACCCCGCCGGGAACTGCACCGGGTGAGGAACCGCCGGGGAGAGCGGGAAAACGGGAGGGGAAACAGATGTGGGATGTGGCACCAGCAGAAGCACCTGGATGGGACAACGGGATGGGAAAGTGAGACAGGAAACCGGGATGTGGCACTGGGATGTGACTCCCATGGGAGTCCCCACAGCACCCAGGGGGGTCCTCCCAGTCGCACCAACAGCCTCGGAACCCTCCCAACCCCTCCTAGTTCCACCAACAACTCCCAAACACTCGGGTTGTCCCAACAACCCCCAAGCCTCCCAGTTGTCCCAACACCCCCCAACCCCTCCCCCCGTGTCCCCTACTCCCTCCCTGCTCCCCGGGGACCCTCCTGGCCGGTCCCACCCCCCCATTCCCGCCTGGGGCTGTGCTGTGTCCCCCCCCAGGTCGACGTGGGTGCCCCTGGGGGACTACGTGGCCTCGAACACGGACGAGTGCACGGCCACGCTCATGTTTGCCGTGAGCCTCAAGCAGGCGGGGACCGTCACCTTCGAGTACATCTACCCCGACAGCAGCATTGTCTTCGAGTTCTTCGTGCGTGCCGGGGGCCTGCGCGTGGGGAGGGGGCTCCTGGGACCGAGGGGGGGGTCACCCAGTCACATAAGGGGGTGCTGGGGCCGTGTCGGGGGGCGCTGGGGGCCTGGAGGGATCTCTGGGGACAGGGGAGGGGACCTGGGGACAGGGCGTGTCCCTGGGGTCAGGGGGGGCCCCTGGGGACAGGGGGGGGTCTCTGGGGACAGGGGGAGCCCCCGGGGACACAGAGGGTCTCTGGGGACAGGTGGAGGTCTGTAGGGACAGGAAGGGGTCTCTGGGGACAAGGGGGGTGTCCCTGGGGACAGGGGGTGATCCCTGGGTACAGGAAGTGGATGTCTGGGGATAGAGGGGGATCCCTGGGGATACAGAGGGTCCCTGGGGACGGGGAGGATGTCCGGGGACAGGGAGGGTGTCCCTGGGGACGGGTGGGGGGTCTCTGGGAACAGGGAGTCTCTGACCCCGCCCCCGCAGGTGCAGAATGACCAGTGCCAGCCCACGGTGGAGGAATCCCGATGGATGAGAACGACAGAGAAGGGCTGGGAATTCCACAGCGTGAGTGGGGATGGGGGGAGGGGCACCCCGGGGGTCCCGGGACCCTCCCCTGGGGACAGGGGTGCTCCACGGGGAGCAAAGAGGACGGGGGGTGATGGCAGAGGTGCCACAACCGACCACCCCCTCTCCCCCACGATGGTCCCAACCCCTTCCCTGGCACTGGGACCCCCCACCCGCGGCACCCACCCCCCCCCATAGTCCCCGCCCCCCGGCTGGCAGCAGGACTCCCCCCGATCCATCGGCCCCGTTGGCAGGTGGAGCTGAGCCGCGGGAACAACGTGCTGTACTGGAGAACCACCGCCTTCTCCGTGTGGGCCAAGGTGCCCAAACCGGTGCTGGTGCGGAACATCGGCATCACAGGTGGGTGGGGGCGGCCACGGAGGGGCCCGGGAGGTGAGGGGGATGTCCCACGCCCCCCCTCTCCCCTGAGCCCCCTGCCGTTCCCAGGGGTCGCGTTCACCTCCGAGTGCTTCCCCTGCAAACCCGGCACGTTCGCGGCCGCGCCCGGCTCTGCCTCCTGCCAGCCCTGCCCCGCCGACACCTTCTCCGGGAAAGGGGCCACCGCCTGCCAGCCCTGCGAGCCCGGCACCTACGCCGGTGAGCGGGGGCACCCCGGGGTGCCCGCAACCACCGGGGGCCGCTTTAGGGTCCCCCCGTCCCCCTGGTCTGGGGTGGGAGTGGGGATGGGGGAGCAGGGGGGGTCGCGACATCCCCTGGAGGGGACGGGGTTGGGGTCCCTTTGCAAGCCCAAGGTCTGCACTGGGGAGAGGGGACACGTGGGGGTCCCCACACCCACCGGTGGCAGCTTTAGGGGTCCCCTTGTCCCCCCCTCAAGTCGGTGCCCCGGGGGGAGGGAGAGGTGATGTGGGGGGGACAGAGGGGACCTGCCTTCCCACCTGTGGGGACAGCGTTGGGGTCCCTTCCGGACCGTGACACCTCTGCTGGGGAGAGGGGACCGCCCGGGGTCCCCACAGCAGAGCGGGCGGCCTTGGGGGTCCCCTCGTGTCCCCCCGTTGTGCTGTGGGGGTGTCCCCGGGGAAGGCGATGCAGGGGACAGGGAGGACCCGGTGTCCCTTGGCTGGGAGGGGGGACACGACCCCCCCGCCGTGTTGGGGACAGCGTTGGGGTCCCCCAGCCGCTCACCCCCCTGTGTGTGTCCCCCCTCCCCCGCAGAGCCCGGCTCGGGGTCCTGCAAACCGCGCCCCCCCTGCACGGACAAGGATTTCTTCTACACGCACACGGCCTGTGACGCGGGTGGGGAGGTACTGCGGGGACCCCCGGGGTGGTGGTGGTGGGGGGGTGTCCTCCCCCGCCCTCTGCGGGTGTGTCCCCCCCTCACCGCCCTCCCCCGCAGACGCAGCTGCTGTACAAGTGGGCAGAGCCCAAGATCTGCAGCGAGGAGCTGCCGGGGGCGGCCCGGCTGCCGCCGTCGGGGGGGCGGTCGCGGTGCCCCCCCTGCAACCCCGGCTTTGCCAAGGGCGCCGGCGGCTCCTGCCAGCCCTGTCCCCGCGGCTCCTTCTCCAACGGCTCCGGTAAGGCCGCCCCGGAGTGTCCCCAGGGGGTGACAGGGACACCCCGAGGTGCCGCAGGGAGGGGGTGCAGTCCCGGGGGCAGGGCTGGCCCCTCCTGTCCCCGTCATTGTCCCCAAGGGGTGACCGGAGTCCCCAGAGCTGCCGGGGGGAAGGGGCTGTCCCCTCGTGTCCCCATCACTGTCCCCAGGGGGTGACCGGGGTCCCCAGAGCTGCCGGGGGTGGGGGTGCCACCCCGGTGCAGGGCTGTCCCCTCGTGTCCCCAGCCTGCCTGTCGTGCCCGCCGGGCACGGAGCCCGCGCTGGGCTTGGAGTACAAGTGGTGGAACGTGCTGCCCCCCAACATGGAGACCACCGTGCTCAGCGGCATCAGCTTCGAGTACAAGGGCATCGCAGGTACCGGGGGGCGTGTCCCCTCCCTGTCCCCTCCCTGTCGCCTCCCGGGGACAACCGGGGCCCCACGAGCGCCGCCGTGTCCCCGCAGGCTGGGAGGTGGCCGGGGACTTCATCTACACGGCGGCCGCGGCCTCCGACAGCGACTTCATGATCCTCACGCTGGTGGTGCCGGGCTTCAGGTGAGGGGGTGTCCCCTGGTGACGGGAGTGTCCCCCCGATGACACGAGTGTTCCCTGGTGACAGGAGTGTCCCCCGGTGACACGAGTGTCCCCCGGTGACGGGGGTGTCCCCGGGGCCGGGGGGG